TGTGTAGGCCTATTGTGTGTATTGTGTGTAGGCCTACCGTGTGTATTGTGTGTAGGCTTATTGTGTGTATTGTGTTAGGCCTATTGTGTGTAGGCCTATTGTGTGTATTCTGTGTATGCCTATTATGTGTATTGTGTGTAGGCCTATTGTGTGTATTCTGTGTATGCCTATTGTGTGTATTGTGTGTAGGCCTATTTTGTGCATTGTGTTTTTTTGTGTGCATTGTATGTTTTATGTGTGTTGTGCGTTTGTTTTACAATTGTGGGGATGTTTTACAACTGTGGGGATGTTTTGCAACTGTGGGGATGTTGTACAAACTTAATCATTTTTGAAAGAAAACTGTATTTCTTTAAAAGGGCCCTCCAATTGAAGGCCAAGAAATGTCAAGATGAAGGCAGAATACTTTCGGATGCGTCCCAGCTGTAAATTCTATCGATGCAACATTTATTACTTGAAGAGTTTGATCCTAATTGTTTAACTGCAGTGAAGAGTATTAATGGTTGGTGACGGGTTAAGTACTCTCTTTTTCTCTCTCTCTCTCTCTCTCTCTCTCTCTCTCTCTCTCCCTCTCCCTCTCTCTCTCTCTCTCTCTCTCTCTCCCTCTCTCTCTCTCTCTCTCTCTCTCTATTATCTATTATATTTCGGCGATGAATGACAGATAAAAAAATTATAAAAAAAGCTAATTAATAAGATCAGCCACGAGTCATGGAACGAGCGTGGCAACAAAAGGTTATTTACGAGAAATCACTTGTTATACAGAGAACTGATCATCTACACGCAATCATGACGCCCTTTTTTTGGTGCTTATTTCTAGTGGTCAGGACTGCAAACCGTTCGTAAATTTACGTAAATTCCGTAACAATGTGTACTTATCTAAAAAGTAAAAGTCCGTCCACAAGAAAGAGAACAAAACGGAAACTTCATCGTTTGCTTGCGTGTGTAATCATCATCAGGAGAATTTATAACACTGATAATGATACCATACAATAAACAAACTCTACATATAGGATGTATGCGTCATATGACTTTGAGTTATACGTTTCATATAAAAATAGTCATAGCCCCCCCCCCTCCCCACCCCTAAAGCTCAGATATTTTAAGTGTTTTAGCTCCATAGTTAAACAAATTAACTTTTTAATAATGCGTCTGTTGGTAAAAATCTGTGAAAAAAATTAAAATGTGTATCAGCACATTTTTTTAAAATTTTATTACGTCGAGAACCTTGCTACGGGTCTTTCCAAAACCTCAACTCTCAAACCAAAGCCTTTATGGTTTACACAAAAGTTTCATCAACGAAACAATCTATTCATTAAGTTTTCCTTTTGCTGTCCACGGATACTACGTCCAAAGCTAAGTGATATTTCTTATTTTTATTTTTATACAGTTTTTTCTGCTGTTTTGTTCGTGGCAGGGGGTCATCGGCGTCCATCCCAAACCTACAATTCCATCCCTCCTCCACCCTCCCTCCCCCCCCCAAAAAAAAACCAAAAAAAAAAATTGCGTAGGTGAGAACTGGTTGACAAATTGTAGGCCTAATCTTAGGCTGTCCTTTTGTTTTTTTTTTTTTTCTT